TCGCATTTCGTTTTACCTGAAAATTTCTGATATTAGTATTTCGTTTTCACGTAACAAATATCTGAAAATTTCTGATAAATCGCATTTCGTTTTGTTTGAAAATTCCCGATAGTAGCATTTCGTTTCTCTGCTATTTCGCATACATAGCTGAAATTTCTGAAGTTAGTATTTCGTTTTCTAGGCATGGGATAACGATAGAAGTGGTCATATTCTCGGAAACCGAAATTATTCTTTTCTGAAAATCGAATTTCCATTGTATATCGCAAATTTTTGAAAACCGAAATCTTGCGGAGCCTACCAACTTTCGGTAGGCATATTCAGAGGTTGCCATATTCTCAGAAACTTCATTTCGTTCTTTCTGAAAATCGCATCTTTACTCTATTTCGCAAAAAATTTTTTTTATCAAAGATCGAGACTTTGCGGAACCTAGCCTAGATCTCGTTCAGAATACTCTTCTGACATGTCTCATTCATAATAGATCGACAGATATACAAAAAAAAAAAAAAAAAGGAAGTAGTCCTCTTTTATTTTTTTATTTTTTTTATCTGTTGATTAGGGCCGGGGGCAAGTATTGTTGGGTTGTTTTCCTAGCTACGTTTCCCCCCACCCACTCCTCTGCACGCATTCCAGGTTGGTACAGTGCCTCGTCAGCAGTGCCACGTCAGACACAGTGCCACGTAGCAGTGCCACGTCAGTAGTGCCACGTCAGCTAGCAGTGCCCCGCCACCATGACGGGCGCAGCTGTGGGCATGCCAGGCCAACTGGCCAACGAGACCATTGCCGACTACAAAAAGCGTTTTCAGATTCAGCTCGCTGCAATCGAGGCTGAGGAACAACGCCAGCTGGCATTCAAGGCTGCCCAGCTACAGGCTGAAGAAGCGGCAACAGCAGAGAAGCTGCAGCTACAGGCCGAAGCAGACGCAGATGCCCAGGCTCGCCGCAAGGAAGCGACAGACTCAAGTACAGACACTTTGAACCGAACGGCGACGAGGCAACACCGGAAGAGCAGCATAAGGAGTTCATGGCCAAGCTCGTGACCAGGTTGGTTTATACTTGTAACCACCTACAGTCCGAGCTGGCGAACCTCCAGCGGGCCGTGCGGAACCGTAAGACTCAGCACGAGGATGCCACATGGGCACTGGATGCCCGTGTACTGGACCTGGAACAGGCTGTACCAGGACCAGATGCTGGGGCTTCCACCAGTGCATCCTCTAGCCGCCAACAGGAGGAACGCGTTGACCATGTAGTGGCAATGCTAGGAGACATAAGTGCCTTCACAGAGCCGGCCACCATCAGCGAGCGGTTCGAGTTGCTGGACACTAAGATCAATCAGCAGCAGCCGACCGACCACAGCCACAACAACAGCTCGGCAAGGCCATACAAGATGCCGACGTTCCGGATCGAGAAATTTGATGACTACACACATAAAGACCCGGTCGTCTGGTGGCAAGGATTTACAACGGAGTTGGGGATCCACGAGGTCCCTGACCATCTGTTCATCAGTGCTCTGTTCATCAACACCAAGGGAGGATGTCAGATCTGGCTCAGCCACATGGCAACCATCCACGGCGTCCAGGTTTCAAACCTGCATAAGAAGGTCTCCTGGGAGGATATGACAAAGGAATGGAAGAAGCGGTTCATAGTGGATGACACGCCTGCGCTCGCCATCAACTGCATCTTCACGATGGCTCAAGGGAGCACACCGACACGTGACTGGCTCACGGATTGGCAGAAGATCGTGGCCACGCCCGATCTGGACCCTGCCATTTCCGCATCTGCGCCGTGAGTTCTACAACAGGTCATGCGCCGCTCTGAGCCTCGCACTTGGTGATCGCGAGCAGTACCACACTTTCGCAGAGATCATCAACAAGGCGAGAGAGATCATCAAGACCAACAGGGCGGCCGCACACGAAAAGTCAACGTGGCAGCCAACCTATGTGGAGAAGGCACGAACTGGTCCGAGACAGCAGCAGTTCGCTGCAGTCCAATCGGACAGTGGAGAAGACCCAGCAGCCACTCCAGCATCACGTGAGGGAGATCAGGTGGCTGCTGTCCAGCCGCGAAGCAACAAGCCCCGAGTGAACGAGAAGGCGAAGGCAGCATCGCAGGCCGGAAACGGACAGCCAGCACCACCATGGGTCAAGTTCGGCTTGACCGAGGCCGAGTACAAGTACCGCAACCGTTACGGCAGCTGTTACTGGTGCAACAACACCAAGCACAAGACCTCCATTTGCCAAGATCAGGCCAAGGAGGATGTGCGGCCTCGTCTTAACTCGGGAAACTGANAAGATCAGGCCAAGGAGGATGTGCGGCCTCGTCTTAACTCGGGAAACTGAGTTGCGCAGGAGGTGAGGCGACTCCACCTCTCACTCCGCCAGATTCGGCCGCCTTGCTAACGGCCTCCTACACATCTGGGGAGGATGCGCATGTCGCAAGTCCTCGGTACAATTACGAGGATTATGCTGTCCACTTGGTCCCACCGCTGGACCAACCGCTCCACGTGCAACAATCTACTGCATGCACGGTTTCATCACCATTGACAACCGATTCGGCAGCTTCGCCGCTATCTATCGTCAGGGATTCATCGTTGTGGTCAAGACTTGAGGTGCTCGACCCACTGACGTTCACAGACTTCCAGTGGATACTCGTTCCCCGGACCGGACGATTGCCGAAACCGCATTGCAATGTGCTCATGGCACAACTGCGAGATTACTTGCACACTGCAGTACCAGCTCCATTGATGGACGCCGGAGTAGATGTTGTCGACCCTCACGCTTACATTGCGAAGATCGACCGCGAGTTCAAGACGCAACGGTACAACGACATTGACGCACCATTGCTATATGTACGCATTCAGATCGGAGAGGCGTCCTGCAACGCCTTGATCGATTGCGGAGCATCTCGCAACTACATCAACCAGGACTTCATGGTGCGCGCCGGCCTTGGCCCACGTGTCCGGAGGAAGTCCCAGCCTACGCAAGTCACTTTGGCAGACAGTCATACGCACAAGTCCATCGACCGGTGCATTGACGCCGTCCCTGGTACTTTGCCCCTCACGCAAGTGAGGCGGTGTCCTTTGATATTTTGGACACCAAATTTGACATGATCTTGGGCATGTCATGGCTGCGAAGCGAGGATCACCCGGTGAACTTCTTCCACCGCACCGTTCACATTCGTGATCGAAACGGAGTATAAGTTCGATGCACGGTACCTCTTCCTCATCCTTCGATCAACTGCCACGTGGTATCCGCCGCAAGCATGCGAGCATCCATCATCAGAGGCGACATCGAGGAGATGGGGGTGTGTTTTCTCCACGCCCTCCCGCCCCGAGACGCTTCATCGACGTACTCATCTTCGGATCCACGCATCACCGAACTTCTCGACGCCTACAACGATGTGTTCGAAGGCCCGCACAGAGTAATACCGGAGCGGCCCATCCGCCACGAGATCATCCTCGAGGACGGGGTATGACAACGGAGTTCCGACACATGCTGGATCGGTTTGTACTCATCTACCTCGACGACATCTTGGTGTATAGTCGGAGTTTGGACGAGCATGTGGAACACCTGCACACCCTTTTGGAGCGGCTACGACAAGCCAAGTACAAAGCAAACTGCGACAAGTGCGAGTTCGCACAGCAGGAGCTGGAATACTTGGGACACTATGTGACGCCGCAAGGCATCCCTCCACTTGCGGACAAGATCAAGGCCCTAGGAGTATGGCCCGAGCCCACCAACACCACGGACGTTCGTTCATTCATGGGATTGGCGGGCTACTATCAGCGATTCATCACCGGATACTCCAGGATTGCTGCACCTATGACGAGGTTACAGTCGCCAAAGGTGCCATTCGTATTCGATGACGACGCACGCCGGTCATTCCAAGCACTTAAGACGGCTATGCTCATGGCACCCGTCCTTAGCATTTATGACCCCACCCTGCCGACACGAGTGACTACGGACGCTTCCGGCTATGGCTTTGGGGCAGTCTTGGAACAGCACGACGGCGACGACTGGCACCCTGTGGWGTATTTCAGCCACAAAGTGCCTCCCATCAACTCGCTTGATGATGCAAGGAAGAAGGAGCTGCTCGCATTCGTGATGGCTCTCAAACGTTGGCGGCACTTCCTCCTTGGGCGTCGTAGGTTCACATGGATCACATACAACAATCCACTGACCTACTACAAGACGCAGGACACGGTGAGCAGCACGATCGGACGATGGATGTACTTCATCGACCAATTTGACTTCACACCGAAACATCTGCCGGCCTCTCAAATTGCGCAGCAGATGCACTCTCGTGAAGACTCGATCTTTGCGCTATGACACATCATGCCTTCGCATTCGACGAGGAGCTTCAACGACACTTCATCCGGGCATATCAGTCTGATCCGGACTTCGGCA